TTTTTTTTCTTTTCGTCTTTTTCGTTTACTCTGTTGCAGTGTGAACTCTTCTAAGAGTATCGGCACATTGTCCGTCCATTTTGAGATGTATAACATTGAAAAAGGAAATCAAGAAAATTGTGTTTCCAATGATTGATGTTAATTGCAGTATAATTTGACACGTGTAAGATTGTCATTGGTCGGAGAAAAGAGAGAAATTGAATAAAATGTAATCAGGTGGTGCAACTTGTTAACACCATTTTGATTTGGTCACTTTTTGAGGCAAACATGTAATTGATATATTATCAAAAGTGTCAATAAGAAGTCATTTACATTGTCAAAACTGTACATATGAACAAGGTAACTGCAGCTGGAGTAGGTTTATGCTCACTCCTGCAAGTTAAGCAGCACAGCTCATTAGCTCAATCTTTTAATAACCCAATTTTTGCAAATAAACCCAAATTTACTTTCTTGCACTCAACTACTTAGCCTCTTTGTCCATTACAAAATGGTTCAAGAGCTGGCCTATAAATACCCCTAAACCCAGAAACTCAACCATGAAATTACACCTGAAATTTTTCCTTCCCTTCACAAACTCCTTTTTTTTTCTTTAATTTCGACTATGGCGTTTTCAACCCCATTGGCTCGTTTTCTTGCCTCGGCCTTCGCCATTGCCCTCTTAATTACACCCTCGGCCGATGCCATTACATGTGTCGACGTGCTCAACAATCTCATACCCTGCATTGGCTACTTGACGAGCGGGAGCGGGGGCCCGTCGGGCACATGCTGTGCTGGCGCCAGAAGCCTTGCATCGACCGCCAAGTCAGTGGCCGACAGGCGGACTGCTTGTGGCTGCCTCAAGACGGCTGCCAATACTTACAAGCTCAAGCCCGAGATCGCAAAGTCTCTCCCGGCAAAGTGTGGGATTAAGTTGCCATTCGAAGTCTCACCGAATGTCGATTGCTCCAAGTAAGTGGAATACACACACACACACACACATATGTGGTTCAAATGAGAACCAAGTATTCGCGTGAGAACTGCTATTTTTAATTGTATGTTGTACTACGATTAATTGTGTTTTAGTGCTATTTTTAATCGAGATGTATTTTATTAAAAATAGCAACATAATTTATATTAGCATTTCTGAAAATGATAGTATCATTTGATATTAAAAGTAGCAACATACATAATTAAAAATTAATCAAATACGATTCTCACGCCAGAACTAGTTTTTTATTTGAACCAGCCCCTGTACATATATGTTCTCTAAGCAACGCATTTTTTCTCATAGTTCTTTATGTTAATATTTACTATTTAGTCCTATATTAGTTAACTAATTATGTTCTTTTGTAAATATTGGTCCATGCAGGATCAAGTAAAGAATAAAGACATCGAGTTTGGTTTTCTGTATCGCGTGTTTGTTGAATCAAGAACGACGTGTAATAAGCTCGGGCCGGATCTGTGTCGGGACCCAAGTTTAAGATTCGGACCGATGTCCACTGTTAGTATTGAGTCTTTGTGATAAGAAACAAACGAGACGGAATTTGGGAATTGATCATCTCAATCGGATGATTCAATGTTCTATTAACCATGAATATATATACACAAAATTAGGGCTACAGTTACCTAAATAGAACCTAAGGTTAATATAGCAATTACACAAATATACACAATATTTGTCAACCAGTGGGGGGTACATCCGCAGGCCGGAGGATGAAGACGACTGGAGAGAAGCAGTGGGGGGTACATCCGCAGGCCGGACAGTGTCAACCACAAAATCCTTCAACCGAGTTGAAGGAACCTTAGTCCGATGACCACGACCTAAGGGCTCGACTGGAAGAGTGGGAGGGGTAATGGTAACGGAACCCCCCATGTCGTCAGAAGTATCCATATCAGTAGCAGAAGACCCAGTATCAGGAGAAACATGAGGCAAAGAGACAACCGGAAGATCCTCATTATCATCTGGCACAGAAGAAACCGACACAACAAGAGGCGGTGGCAAAGAATCTGGCTCAGACGAGTCTGACTGGTATGGGAATTCAGCCTCAAGAAACTCTACATTACGAGAGACAAAGAAAATCTGACGATCCAAATCATACAAACTCCATCCCTTTTTACCAAAAGGATAACCAACAAATAGACAACGACGACTCCGAGCAGCAAACTTGTCACCATTACGATCTAGATTATGAGCATAGCAAAGGCAACCAAAAACCCGCAAATGAGACAAAGAAGGAGTCGAACCATAAAGAATCTCATATGGGGTTTTACCATGTAAAACTGAGGAAGGAGTCCGATTTATCAGATAGACTGCAGTCAAAACACAATGACCCCAAAAAGAAAGAGGCAAATGAGCCTGAAAACGCAAAGCACGAGCTACATTGAGAATATGTTGATGTTTGCGTTCTACTCGCCCATTCTGCTGAGGAGTGCCTACACAAGAAGTCTCATGCACAATCCCTTGACGACGAAAATAAGAGGCCAAACACATGAACTCACTTCCATTATCACTACGAACAACACGTACCAATTTATCAAATTGTCGCTTAATCATAGAAAAAAAATTCAGCAATGTGGAAGCAACCTCCGTCTTATCATTCAATAAATAAACCCATGTTCCACGTGAACAATCATCCACAATAGTCAAAAAATATCGTGCACCACAGAAGGACGGAACACGATAAGGACCCCACAAATCACAATGAATCAAATGAAAAATCTCGTGACTAACAGTCTGAATGAGAGGAAAACTACGACGATGTTGTTTAGCACGAAAACAAGCATCACACGATTTATGCAAATTACGAGAACTAGAATCAGTAAGAGGAACCTGAGACAATACTTGAGCAGACGGATGACCCAAACGTTGATGCCACACATCGGCAGAAACCTTATGAACACAAGAAACTGTCGTAGAAACCGTCTCTCGAAAGAAGTAGAGACCTCCCAACTGCTCACCCGCACCAATTACCTTCTGCGAAGTGCGGTCCTGAATAATACATGATTTGGTAGTAAACTGAGCGGTGCAGTCAGAACGATCCAACAATTGATATAATGAAATCAAGCTGCATCGAAGGCTGGGAACATATAAAACATCATAAAGAGTGATATGAGATCCCAAATAAACAGTCCCAGCCTTGCTAGTCATTGTCAAGGAGCCATTAGGCAATTGAACAGGACGAGCGGTAATATCCCGAACATCGGAAATAAACTCCAGGAACCCTGTCATATGATGAGTTGCCCCAGAGTCATACATCCAATCAAATAAACCACGCGTACCAGACAAGGGATTCAAAGCTCCACTAGTAGCGGAAGAGCCAACAGAACCGGCAACAATCGAATCATTAGTACCACTGGAGAACGCCGCACTCGCGCGAGCTCCACCACGGCGGCCACCACCAGAATGATAACTGCGACCATTACTGGAACCGAACCATTTCGGATATCCAATGATCTCAAAGCAAGTAGTAACAAGATGACCCATTCGACCACAGTGAGAACATTTGGGATGAATACCAGTACTGCGCCCTGCAAATTCGGCTTCAGCCCATGTCGAAGAGTCTGCCATGGAACCGCAACAACTACACACTTTTTTTTTTTTTTTTT